AAAATATTTCATATCATTTTACTGTACTGGTAACTTACTCTACACAAAATCAGACTATGGGATTAATGCTTACACACTACTATGCATATGTAGCTAGAACTACTTCTAAGATTATCAGCACAAAACCTAGAGGCTACACACAAAGGCTAGAAATTAGTGAGAAAGGTTTTGTGCTTATAATGCTTACACATACATTCATAATGCAAGCAATCCTTAATAAACTGTTCCACAAAACCCTGAGATTTTGTAACAATACTGTATTTATAAATTTTTATTTATTTACTTATTTACAAGTGCTGTAGGCAATAGCATTTGTAATCCTCAAAATAACATATAACAACAAAACCTGTTAAAAACAACAAATAAAATTACAAAATTTTACTGAAATAACCAAGTTAATTACAAAAAATATAAAATTCTTTTACAAAACAGTTTAAATTTATGGAAATCAATGTGAAGTTTTATCTTTGATTATATTAATAACGCTATGGTGACAATAGAAAAAGGATTTGGCAAAAATGGCAAGATGGCAAAAAAGGAATAGAAATACAGGTGGACCACCTTGTATCGACTGAAGTAATATGTATGTTGATTTAATGAGATGAGAGACATCCATTGAAAAATTTGTATGTAAGGATTTGATCAAAGTAATTGATATGTTGAAATAAATTTGGTAAACCTAAGGAGATTGCGCAACTTTTTTACTTTCATTATTTTCACTAAAAATGTTAAAAACAAAATTTCTAAACTGTAGCTTAATTCACTACAGAAACTTTTTCATTAGGATATAAAAAAACAATAATGAAGTCTTTTTCACACATTGTTTCTTTTACATACATTTAAACTATTGCTTACACATTTAGAATTCCACAAAAATAATAATCAAGCATGAGGGTTCTATAGATGTTAAAAGTTTAACATCTACTTAGACTAAATAGATATGGAAAACATTCACTCTAAAAAAAAAATGTTGATTAAACTAATTTCAACTTTTGAAAAGTATTTTGGTAACTAAAACCTTAATAAAAATTTAATTTTGTACTAGTAATATCATTGTATCATGTATAAATCACAAGAAACTAATTATTATTATTAATTTTAGTTTATTTTTCCTATGTACAGGGTTTCTTTATTAGATGCATTTGCTCATCTTGTTGTAAATATAAGAAAAAAGCTTCATAGGACATATTAAAGTTAACTCAAATAGCAAGTTTAGATTTTAGTAATTTCAGGCACTGTCTGTTCCTGTCATCTCTCCATACTGACTACTGTACAAGTGAAAATATTCCTTCAGAAAAGGAATTACTCATGGACACAGTTAATGCCTTACTTACAATTGTTTTTTATACAGAAAAAATACAGGATATACCTTAAGAACATTTACCCATTTAAAAACAATCAACAAATCATTTATCATCCAAATACTAAATTACACTGAGTATACAGGCATACCTCGACTTACGTCGTTCCCGATTATACGTCGCTTGTTAAAAAAGTATATGGAAAAATAAAAATCAAGTTTAAGTCATTTTATTCGACTTTACGTCTGTCCGCCACAAATATTGAAGTCGTAATATCACTAGAAAAACGTTTAAAGCACATAAAATCATATTAAAATTTATACAAGTATGTACTGTATTTACAGTACATGCATTCGTAAATTTAGATTACTTTTTTTGTACTGTATTAAAAACTAAAATTTATTTGTTTGTAAGCTTAAAATAGATTTTTATTAACCATATATTATTAAAAATGCATTAATAAATAAAATACAGAACCGGAAATGGTAATTTACGGTTTAGCCTAGTGATAAGTAGATTCGGAGACAAGTAAATTCGACTTACGTCATTTTTCGACTTACGTCGTTCTCCTGGAACCAATTACCGACGTAAGGCGAGGTATACCTGTACATGTATGTAATACTTCTTATATAAACATAGATCTAAGATCAGGTTCAAGTGTTAAATGATTAACTTGCCTGCCCTCTATCAGCAAAGTCAAACATTTTGATTTTATGCATGTATTAAGAGTGGTTATTTTAATTCATTGAAGATAAAATATATCTAACCTTTAACACAAAACGAATTCTAACCTTAACACTGCGTTGTGTCTGTAACAATCTTCGCTAATGTTTTTGACCTCAACCGAGGTCTTCTTCAAGTGGTGACTAAATGGTGTCTCCTCTTGGCCAATGGAACGATGACGCCCAAGATGTAAAAAATGTGCGTATTGCATTTCACCCCTCTGCTTGTCCCAGTTCGAAATCGTCTCTCCATCTTTAAAGTTGATGCAGGTGCCCCTAATATTGGCTTTATAAATCTCCCAGGCCTCCAGGTGACGGATGTGATCAATACGAAATGCCTGTCTGATTACTTTGGTGTTTTGAAAGTCTGCCCGAATTTCAGGGTCAGTAATGTAGGATGACAAGGCGGTGGTGTGCCTGTTATTTTTAATATCTGATTGATGCTCACGTAACCGTTTTTGTGTTGAGCAGATGGTGAAGCCAATGTAAACCAAGTCTCTATGGAATCTATTGTCCCTGATGGGAATGGAGTATACCCGTGTTGAGATCTATTGCATCCTTGGCGTTGCACAGCAGGTCGTAAATAGTGCTGGTTCTCCTGTACGCGATCTTCATGCAATTATGGCAATCAATCTCCCTGTATAGGGGGTCTAAATGTTGGTTGAACCGGACGACCGTGCATCTATCGTTCTTAACGAGTTGGTGGCCGCCATCTGGTGTAGGCAGGGGGCTGCCACTGTGGCGTGGGGGACGGTTGGTGCAGGCACGGGCTAAACCGTGAATCATGCCTTTACTGTAGCCATGCTCAACCGCAATTTTTTCTATGTGGTGGAGCTCTAACCGGGTGTCATGAGCATTTGTGTGATGTGTGAAGCCCGTCTGGTTAGGGCATGGAAGACCACAATTTTGTAGGCAAAGGAGTCAGACAAGTTCGTGGGGATGAAAAGTGGAAGCTGGTCTAGTTTACGGTAAATGCTTATTTCTATCTTGCCACCCCTGAGACGTATGTCAACATCTAGAAAATGTTCACGCAAGTTGCTAACTTGATCTAAGCCAAGGGTGAGCCGTAAGCATTGTCGTTCATGCACGACAAAAACTCGTCGAGATTCGGTGTGGTTTTCCAAAGTATAAAGATGTTGTCTACTATCTTTGGTATAGACTGATGTATGGTAAGAATTTGGGCAATACTCTCTCCTACAAATGTCTTACCACCAGCTCGCAAAGGTCCCCCAATAGTGGGCTGCTCATGGGCACACCCTGTCTTTGTAAGTAAGTAGTGTTGTTGAATTGGAAAACCAAGGTTAGATGTGCCAGCTTTAATATCTGCTGACTGTGCCAGAGCACATCATTCTCGCAAAGTAGAAAGTCCCTAAGGGTGCAGAAGCAGGGCTGCAGCCATATCAATGGGAAAAGGGACACAAAATCGAAGACCGCAAAGTGCAGGTTGTCACCCACATCAACCCGTTGTAACAACTCAACAAAAGCAGTGGAATTAGTGGTAGAAAACCTATAACAGTTCAAATGCTCAGTGGCGATGTTGTGAATGGCCTTCTCAAACAGCTTTGTTGGGGACCTAGCTTTATCCAGGACAGGCCTAAGTGAAGGGATCGGTTTGTGCATTTTGGCAAACGCCAACAACCTCAGAGTGTTGGGAGAGGCAACAACTGCTTTGCCCAACCCCCATTTCATGTCAAAGGAAGTGCGGGTGAATCTAGAAACTCGAGACTGTAGCTTGTCTATGTAGCCACATTCAATGGGCTCGCAGTCTGTGTCGTCAATATACTGTTGCATGAGAGACCTGTAGGTGGCTTCCTTTAATAGAACGAGAGATTTGTTTTTATCTGCTTTGAGGACTATGATGTGCTCATCCACCAGCTATTTCCTGGTTTTCCGTATGATGCGCCACCAGTTGTCACTGCAGGTCCTGTTGACGGACCAAATCTTGAGGGTGGCTTTCCATCTGTAGTATTCCTTGTGGGTGCTGCTCAAGCCGGTGATGAGTCACTGACGAGGAGACACCGTTTAGTCACCACCTGAAGAAGACCTCAGTGGAGGTCAAAAACATTAGTGAAAATTGTTACGGACACAACACTGTTATGAAAAAGTTTTGTGGATTGTTATCTAACCTTTCATGTTATATTTCAAAACCAATAATAAACCAAAGAAGAAATGATTAGACCTGGAACCCAAACAAACTGTTCTAAAACTGGAATCTCTGTGTTAAAAAAAAAAGGCAGTTGGTAGCCCTATGTAAAACTTCATTTATAATTATATATCTATATTGTGTATTTGATAACTTTCTAAAATGTTAATAGTTATACTAAATAATAAATGGTATAATTATCTATAAACATGCCATCTCATTATTATCATTGGGAACTTCTTTAGTCTAATTATTATATACTATTATGTATTTTTTTAATATGCATTTTGTTAATATTATTGTAATGTTTAAGTTTTTATTATGTTATACTGGACTTGAAATAAATAATAGACATATCTTTTATATATATAATTTAACAGCAATTACAATTACTTATCACTAGCATCAATTCTGCACAAACTTACTGCCAGGAATGAATCCCAATACCCAAATTTTATTATTTATAGAAATAAAATATCAAAAAATGATTAATGTAAAGTTAGAAAAAAAAATGTACAAATAAATAAAACCTTTAATGTTGGATTTATCATCTAAACTAATTCAAACTACCCATATAACAGTCAATTTGAAAAATGAAGTCAACACATAAATCATACTTTAAAACTCAATTATCTACTTTTTTAAGCCATAGCTTTTAATGAATAACAATAGTTAACAGAGGCCAACAACATGTCTAAAAAGGAAGAAATAACATCACATAAATCAGATTTAACTTAGATTAAATCTGATTTGTGTAATGTATTCTCCTTAACATTTTGTAATTATTATAGAACATTTTTTGTGCAGAATATTGGGTGATATCGATAAGGATACTAATTAGGCATGAAGTGTGGAACTTGATTTTCAGTTTTTTGAAGATAGAACCTTTTGCCTTTGGATGGCACAGCTCATGAAGTTTTTGAGGCCTATGCTTCAGAAACTACAAAAAAATTCTATTACCATTAAAGCAGGGAAAAAAATGCATCCTCAATGATAAAGATGACATAATAAAGTTACATAAAAATGAATAACATTACAGATTAAACAATTTAAAATAATAAACATGAAAAATTAGTTAATAATAGATAACAGAGAAATATTAAAATTAATGCAATGATTGATTATCAAAATGTAGATGCCATTTTCAAACCACTGGGAAACTAGCAGAAAGTTCCTGGTTAATCATATAGGATTTTAAGATCTGTATAGTTTTGGCTGTTTGTAAGTTATTCCCATCACTTAGGCCTTCACTATTTCCATTCAATCCCATGAAACTGTTTTCTTTTGTATTAAGAAGTATTAGATAGATTACACCTTCTTAACATAAAAATTTTATGTTAAGGAGGTGTCTTCTTCATGAAGTTGATATCCCTAAAGATTTTGTTTTTTGTAAATAAAAATAACATTCATTTATAGGAGTAGGGACCAACAGGGAAGCAGAATGTTTGATCTTGTGAATGACATTTAGAGGAAATTAAAATAGTCCTGGAGAAATATAAAAAATGCAGTATAAAAAATATGGATGTAACAACAATATATTGGCAAAATTACTGAAATACAGGAATCTTGTGTTTTAAAATTGGAACTGAAACATTTATTTAGTTTATGATGAATTCAATCACTCATTTCATTTTTATCTTAAAACTCTTTTTGACACTACATAATGGGTGAAATTTCATGCAGACTCAAATTAAAATGAAATATTCACTCATTTCTCACATAGAAAATTTGCAAATTAATAAACTGTGCAATGTCATAATGCTGTAAATGCCAAAAAACAAACTTTTAAAGAAAGATAAACACTTTTGCTAGTGAATAAATTCCTTCAACTCTTAAACAAATTCATTTCAATTTTACAATAAAATGGTAAAAAGCACATTAGGTTACAAGTTCTCTGGAGTAACAAAATGATGTAAGTATAAGCAGTAACATCTTAAGCATCAAAAGTGACATGACTTGCACTTTGGTACTTAAAACATTATGGCTTGCACATAAATTCAACTTCAAAATATAACCACTACTGCCATAATAATTTTTTGCAGCAGAAAACATTGTATTCAGAATTAATTTCTTCAATAAAACATATTTAGAGAAAAATGGCATTTACAACATTATGGCATTGCATGCTTCATTTAAAAATTTTCTGAACTATCTTGATCAAATAGCTAAATAAAAGTTTTATCAATTTATAAACATTATTTCTTTTTACTTTTTCATAGATTATAAAATAAAACATACTAATGTCAAAATATATTTCAGAACATTGTAAAAATACGATTATGTTTTCAAAAAATAATTTTTCAGAAAAAAAAAAAAAAACAGTACAATTATCATTGTTTTAAAGAAACTTTTCATTATTGGACATCAAAAACCCTATTAGTTAGCACCCTATGATAAAAACAAGTCATTTATGGTGTTAGTAACACACTTGAATTGCATTTCTATTAATCAACTTAGTACATCAAATTTGTAATTGTATATATTAATCCTAAGATGATGGCACATGCTTATATTAAATTGTTCTTTTAGTTTAAAAAATTTCTACATTAATTTATTGGTTTAGTGTTGCATGACAAATTATATGATAAGCCTACTTAATTATTTGTAATGGTTTAATTTTAATTTTCCAAACTATGTTGCAATGATTATTAGGGATATTTTTAGCCCTAAAAATATTCTGCACCTCTGGGAACCACTATGGACTAGTAACTTTTCTTTGGACCCAGAGAAAAATCACAAGCTCCCCTCTCTTCTCGACAGCCCTGAATATAATAAGGGAAAAAATACCAGTCATTTTTAGAACTTTAAAGAAAATCTAATCGTTTAAACAGAAGTGAAGTTTATAAAATCCAATTATATATGATTTTTACTTCCTAATGTTATCTGAATGAAGCAAGATAGCGATCTGATTATTCAGATCAGATAATTTTTTAGATATTAAATTAATAAACAGATTTATACCAGATTTTTCATATGATACATTATTTAATAAAAAATCTTTTTTATATATCGAACACACTAAAGAATAAAATTCTAGGTAAGTATCTCCATAATTTGTAACCAAATAGAAGCAAATCACTGAATACACTATCAAGATCAAGATTTAGAACTGATAAACATATCACGGAGCTCAATTTGAATCAATAGTGATATACATTGTGAATATACCACTGTATTTAGACATCATATATTCAAGTTTAGCTGACTGAAATTAACCACCTCTCAATTTTTTCCAAAAACATATAATATAATACTTTCGAATTATAAGTTTTTAAATTTTATTTCAGTAAATCATTTAAGTGAGTTTCATTAATGGTTTAAAACACAGAAAATTGAACCAAATATCACCAATTCAATCATATAAAGGGAAGAATCCCGAGAGAATCGACCACTATATTAATTTAAAACGATTCTGTTGATACAAAGAGGTCGAATATATTCGCTGTATTTTTTTTTTCTTTTTATCTGTACGGCAAACGTTAACATAATACACTGAATGAATAGCTTTAGAAAGGCAGAATTTCCTTAGTACGATAATAAGTCGGGGGAAAAACCCGATCGTCAATAACGTGAAATTCCTTATAAGAGAAATGACCGTACAATTCACTACTGATGAAATTGATCCGTTATAGTAACCGGACTTTCCGACAGATGGCAGAAAATCGGCACGCGCTTAACATAATTTATTCGAAGTCTCCGCCATTGGTCAACCGAGCTGATCCAGCGATTGACGTCATAACTAGCATTTACCTCTACCGATTTTTACGGGCCACGTATATAAACGGTTAAAAGCCAATCTTATAAATACATCGAGGGATTTTAACACCAAAGAGACGAAATTTACCACCAAAATATATATTTAAATATTAATATATATCATTTTCTTCGTTCTGAACGTATTAATAAAACTTTCACTTTCACGGAAAAGTTTGGTCCAAATTACTTACTATATCTTCATAACTTCTTCTATGTTCATTTCCTAACCAATCTAAACGTTTCGGCATCAACTACGGCGAAAAAAAATTAATTTTTTAAATTATTATCATTTTTAATTTTTATGACGTAATTACTTAATTTCGAAAAAATTAATCCGGAAGTGGGCCGAACTTGTTTTGATTGTGACAGGAAGCACGTGGACTTACCTCATGTTGCTCGATTTCATGTCTAAGGATCTGCAACAAAGACCTCAACTTTGAAAAGGTCCCTCTCAAAAACGATACAATTTCGATACTTATAAACAGTAATAAACAATATCTTACCTCGGCACTTTTCTTACATGGTCCAGTCTTAAGGAATTTAGCGATCAATAAATACAATTCTGCAGAAGAAAAGAGACATAACAATCAGACTAATCCTGCACTCGCACGGGTTACCATTCGCGGTTAAGCCTAACGAAAAGTACGGGCAAATTTACATCTTACCTGCCTCATACGAGGATAATGTTTTATCTTTATTATTGTTTTCAGACATGGTCTGTTTTTCCCGACTATCAAATTCGTTTCCGAAATGGGATTACAACATTTTCGGACCAACTGACGATCGTCGTCGCGAATTGGACTCTAGACGACATTGAGATACGCAGCACATCCATCGACGGGAAGTGAAGGCGAGCGAAAAAATAGTACCGACACATATCTACGAATCGACCGTAATCGATTTTCAAAATAACGACAATCGTAATTATTTCGGCGTAAAATATATATTTTCGTAAACGTAACTATAAATTCCATCTTATCCGAGTACATAAAACCGTATCTGTTGACGTAAGGCGGAAGAACACAGTTTTTTGATCTTGAAACTTGGAGATCACAACGATTGCGCGTGAGCATGCGCAGTAGCAGTCGACGACGGCATGCCGACTTTCCGATCTAAATGGCGTCGAAAGGATTTTTAGGTCAGAAATGAATTTATTTCATTTATAAAAGGAGGAAAATTGAAATGATCTATAAACTTACGCGCAAATACGATCAAATAACCGTAACGTCAGTAAACTGGGTCAGTTTAACGCGTATAAACGTTTAGTAATTGCATCGTAAGAGAAAATTCGGCGATTGGATCCAGTCGAAGACGATCGAGAAACACGCAAAATACGTTTATTGAAGTTATGACGAGTGTTTTTTTGGGGGCGAACGAGAGGAAATCGAGTGCGACCATCCGTAACCTAAAAGTTGGTGGTAATCGACTTTGTCTCATCGGCTTGTAAATAGGTAGAGTAAAAAAAAACCCAACCTTTTTATCTGATTTTAATGAATTTCTTGTTTGTTTATCTTGTTTTCGGGACAGTTTTCGTTAATGCTTCTTAAAAGCATTAAGCAATTATGCCTATTTAGATTATTCCATATAGTTAATACATTTGGGTAGCAGTTACTTTCAGTTAATTGCTCCATGTATGATATATGCAAAGGTTACCTAAAAGTAACTTCTGTTAACTTCTACTTAATATTATGTATATATTTGCCAGTTCATCAGATAAAAGATTTTTTTAATCGTCTGTTTGCCTTAAAGAATTAATTATTTCGGGATTGTCACTTCTTGTCCAGATCTTTGTCAGTGGCCTACCCGGAGGGGAGCTGAAGGGCCCCTTCGAAGAAAAGGAAAAAAACAGAGACCAGAAATCTTAATTAGAATTCATTTTTTTATTTATATTGTGTGGTGCCTTCTCTTAATATACTACTTATAAATTAGTGGTCACACAAGGTGGTAATTTTGTTGAATTTGTTTTAAAAAATTATTTTATCCATTTGACTTGGACTCCGAGATTAAATCCTGTGTGTGCCACCGGGTCTTCTTGTCAATAATTAGTCAATGGACTAACTGAATTTGTCTTTCTTCTGGACTATCAAACTGATCTTGTAAGGTAATAACTGCCTTAATTTGTGATATTAACCTTTGTTTTTGGTTGTATTATTGATGTAGTTCATAAATATCTGGTTTTTATAATAATTTTTCATTTTAGAATAAGTGAAGTTGTAAGACAGAAGAGGGGTACAAATAAAAAAAAAATACCAGAAATGCATATCGAAAATAAATGTTATATGATGAAATAAGGCTGTTGTTACCTTACGAGATTGGTTTGATAAGTCTGGAAGAAAGGCAAATTCTGTTAGCCTATTAATAATTAAACTATTAATTTTTCAAATGACAAAAAATTATACACTTGAATTATTTTATTATTTAAAAATATGGAGAAAAAAATCTTATTGATTCATTACTTAATTAGAATATTTTAATACACTTTTAAGTTCTGTATGGAATGTATAAATGATATGCTATGACTGATAAAGAAACTGAAAAAATCAAAATGACTAGATAATGGATCTTTTTTCTATTTGTTTACTTTCTGTAAGTTATTTTATCATTACTCTGGTTAAAATAATTTGTAAGTATAATATTTATTACATTTAAATGTTGATAAAATTCAAATTTTTGTTAATGATGTTTTTAAAATAAATTTATTTTATTGTTGCTGTTTATTACCTGTTCAAAATAATGATGCTGTTTAAAAATTTACAACTTCTCTAATAGCAACATTAATCTATAGTAACTAACCTCTTGCAATAAATTCGTGAAAACAAAATTATCAGAAATAATCAATAAATTGTTAATTTACTATGTTTAAACAGTAATAATATATAGGAATGTATTACAAAGTTAAATTTCAAAAATTTAAAACACTAATGCATAAAAATATGCTGATTTTTTTTACCATTATATATACAGGTAACCCCCGTATAACATAGCACTTCTATAGCACGGATTCACTCTAACACGATTCAAGAATTGGGAACATCCCCAGTATAACACGGTGGTTTTATAGCATGGGTTCACTCTAACACGGTTCGGGAATTGGGTAAAACCCTTGTACAACATGAAATGTAATAAAGGGTGTGTTCTTTTATACTTCCGCGTAACTCCACGCGAGCATTCTAATTGTTTTCGTGGCTACTTTGAATGCTCTTTCAAGAAATAATCCATTTAATGGTTAAATTTTACAATTGGGACCCTTCTTTTGCCTCTAAAAGCTCATTTTAGAATTATAGATTCCTCCATCACGATACTATTGATAGTGCGGGCACCGCCATCTTTCTTTCACTGTCGTTCCTAAATGCCTACAAACAGCAGTACACTCCTGTTGCAGAGCGACTGCTATTAACAAATGCACCCAAAAACTGTTACCAGTTGATGCTTATGCTGAGATCATCATATGGGATGAATAATCCTCTGGTAAATTATTTACTTAAATAATAAATAAGTATTTTATCTATGAAAAAAATGAATAAGAAATCCTATTTAAATAAGGATTTAACAGCACATTTTTTAATTTTGGAACCTAACCCCCCCTTTTCGCACTAGTTCTTTGTTTCGTATAACATGGATTCACATAACACGGCAATTTTATGGAACGTAAAGCTTAGTTCACACTGAGCAAATAGTGAAAGTGAATGTGAAAAGCGAAAAGCAATTTTTATTCGTATAGTGAAATTGATTCTACAACTAAAAACGAAAAGCAATTGCGAATTTTAAACAGCCAATCATTTGCAAGCAAGTGAAAACGTCATTTCGAAAAACAAAATGGCCACTTCCGCTATTCTGTCATTAACCACATTTGTTTATTTATTGAGAAAGAAAAATAAGTCAAAAAGAAAACGATGCTGGGTGAGAGAAATATTAAAATCTGTAATTACAACGTGTAATGTATTGTGTGAGAAAGTTTCTGTAGCCATCTTGAAAACAACAAGAACCACGTGACAACTAGCGGAAATACGATTGGTGCGAAATTTTTTTGCTAGAAAAAAAACTCGACAGTTCCGAATTTCGAAGTGATTCGCGAAATGGTAAAATTCCCCAGAAACGACGTCATGTCTGATGTGTTATTCGCTCTGTTTTTCGCTTTCGCTAGCAAATCGCATTCAGTGTGAACTAAGCTTAACTCCCATGTTATACAGGGGTTACCTGTATATATATGTTGCAGTCAAAACCTGTTTTTAGTTAGAACATGTTTTAACAACTTGAAACTAGTTTATACTGGATGTCTTTGTTAAAACCAGTTTTGTCTAGTTAAAACTAGTTTTACTCAAATTCATTTTTGACTAGCAGTAAATTCTAGTTTTAACTACACAAAACTGGTTTTGTCTAGTTAATTTACTGCTGTACATGTTTTGATTTTAGATAAAACTAGTTTTAACTTTTAACATTAGTTAAAACTAATTTTAGCTACATAAATATGTTGGGGGAAATAAATAAAGTTATGTGTAGTGATTCGGGGAAGATGCCTAACATTTTGCTTATGAAGGAAATTATCATGCTAATTTGGGTTTTGGAGTCCTCTAATGAAAATATCATGTTCTGGAGTATGTTTTTCAAATAAAACTTTAGAGTTTATTTTTAAAAAATTGTATATTGTGTTTGCAATGACAACTTTTTCACTGTCTGGCATTTTAGGCATCTCACTTCAAGTATCCGGGTGAGATGCCAAATGCCATTAGGGTAAGATAACAAATATAACTGCATAAAATTAATTTTTGAATTTCTTAACCATATTTAATTTATTGCATATGTAGTACAAAGTACTTCATAGCAAATATAACAGTACATTATAAGTATTGTTAAGTTTCCGCCCGTTCTAACATGCTCTATAGCTAGCTGAAAGTTTTTTCAGTCCAAAACCTTTTTGAGAAGTCCTTATATAATTTCTATGCATATCCTGCAATAAAACGAGAAAAAAAAATTTATTAAAAATAGGCATATTGGAATTGAATTAACAAAAAATAGACATGTTACCCCAAGAAAAATGTGGCATCTTTTGGGATTTTGTTGGGGTAAGATGCCTAGTAGAGTCACGTGCTCCAGCATGTCTGATCGGGATTGGTGGTAGCTGACAATGGAAACTTTAGAACCTTAACTACATCATACATTAATTGTTTTTTGCAATTTTTAATAAATTCTATTTTAACTTTTAGTTTAAAATTACTCTAGAAACATTTCACAACAAAAACTTCGTTCTTATCTAGCTTTTATTCTTCTCAGATGTAGAAAATGAAGTAACGGTAGCCAACTACAGCTTTCCGCACTCAATATTGGCCCAACGATTCATCATACAAATATATGACAATATGTGACGTCACCGTTTGAAAATATCAAAAATTAGGCATCTTCCCCACTTACCATCTTACCCCGAATCACTCTATATGTTGCAGTCAAAACCAGTTTTTAGTTAGAACGTGTTTTAACTAGTTAAAACTAGTTTATACTGGATGTCTTTGATGAAACCCATTTTGTCTAGTTAAAACTAGAATTTGCTGTTAGTCAAAAATGAATTTGAGTTAAAACTAGTTTTAACTAAACAAAATGGGTTTTATCAAAGACATCCAGTGTAAATTAGTTTCAACTAGTTAAAACACGTTCTAATTAAAAATGGGTTTTGACTGCAACATATATATAAATCAACTAATAGAGAAAGTTCACATTGTCATATCTGATGTTTGTATGCCTAGTTTTAGCACCCTTCAGTAAATTTGAGGTTGTTTAAGAATCAATTGACAGATGGCACTAATGGAATCTACAGTATCAAGATAATCTTGTGTAATAGAAT